GCGGCGGCAACAATACTACAGCGAGAATAAAAGTTACGCCTTCTTTCTTTGCGTGAACATTTGGGCGGTGTTATGCAAATCTTCCCACACAGTGATGTAGACATGTTGGGGGTGTGTTTAAACGAGGCATTTTAGGAGGGCGTGGACGGGTCTTAACTTTTATAAAGAATATCTCTTTGGGTTTGAGACTTTAGTCTTTGCAACTTTAGGGATCTTGTACAGTTTGTAACACTCCAAAGAGAAAGGAAAACTTGAAATCGCATCATATGACCCCTTTAAGAAACAGTACAATACGGCACAAACATCTTTTAGCAAACTCATATATAAAGTTAACGTTGGAGTCTTTTTAATTGATGTCACGCTCTTTTGATCAGAGAGACAGCAGAGCGTCAATGACTTCAGACAGGTATGGAGTGTCACGGACTGAAAGACAATTCAAGTGTTCAATTATTGACACAGTGTCAGACGTCTGCTATAACTCATTAACAAAAATGCATATATATATATATATATATATATATAGTGCTATATTAGTGCTGTTAAACGATTAATCACGTTTAATTGCATCTAGGGAGTTTAGTTGACCAGAAGAGGTTTGGTCGACCAAAATTGTATTAGTTGCAGAAAAAAAAATACACATTGGCCAAGTCACGCAAATCGTTAACGGCTGGTCTTTGTGGTAATACAGTACATTGGGCAGGACGTCCAAATGCCCACCTATCGTTCAAATATAGTTTATCATCTGAAATATGTAAGTATTAGCAACTTTACATGGCCGCTCAGTCTAATGTTAACCTAGAGAAATGTGTGCTATGTGGAAGCTGTACAGTAGCTCACTGCAGGACAGATGGAGGCGCCAGTGCGCTTACTTGCTCTTAAAATACTCCCTTATTTTTGGTCATACAGATAAGAGTAACACATCTTTCTAATCTGTAAAGAGTCTGTTTATTTGTGTGCACTCACAGTAACAACAAAACGCGCTTTTGTAAAATAATGAAAGCAAACAGGATGCGCTTTCTGCCGTCTCGGTCTCTCTGAACTTGAGCGCGAAACTCTGTCTATATCTTTGCCTTACAGACATTAAAAATGTATCTATAGAGAGTGAAATGTCTACTTTCAAATTAACCAGTTCAAATGGAAAACAAATATTCTCAGATTATTTAATCCGTGTGAAAGATGCATACAGGCGCATCCACTACTGCGGAGATGACGAGTCAGTGTCGCCGACTTCATCTCTTAAACCGAAACAAAGAAAGCAATTGTTTATCAGTGAATTATTAAAATGTTAATGCAGTCTCCTAACTGTTTTTCCCTGACACATTCCTAATCATTACTTCTGCCGGTGCTCTGTGGCAAGCTTTATGCGTGTGCTTGAGCGCTTATTAGGCTATGTAGGCAACTAAAAAGGCTCATTATAATGATTTAAATGGCTTATTAATAAATGTGCGATTAGTCAACTAATGCTTAAAATGAACGACGACTAGTCGACCAGAAAAATCCTTAGTCGAGAGCAGCCCTAATCGCATCCAAAATAAACGTTTTTATGTACATAATATATCTGTGTACTGTGTATATTTATGTATATACACACACATACAGTATATATATTTTTTTAATATTTGCATGTATATTCATATAATTTATATTTAATATATAAACGTAACATATTTTTCTTAAATACATACATGCCATGAGTGTATTTATATATACATAATAAATATTCACAGTACACACACACACATACTATGTAAACGAAACTAAAACTTTTATTTTGGATGCGATTAATCACGATT